TATATTTGTACGACTTTATTGTCATAATACTTCGTAATAAGACATAGCTTGGACAACAAACAGTCGGTTTACAGATTGTGAAAGCTAAGGATCATGTTGTCAAAACAGTACAGCACGGATATGTTCTATGAAAAGACGATCTTCCATCACGACACAGGAGCAGACTTGGTTCCTGACAAGTTAAATGTTTGGACCGTAAGAGCTCAGTGAGTTGATGTAGATGGTTTAGAAAGAGGTGTTGCACATTAAGAGAGGAAAAACTGAATTTGGATTTCTGCAACGATCGGTCGGGTCTTTATTTTTCACATTCGAGGTATACATGTAGTTATCTCTCGCGGTGATGGATAGCGGGCTTTAAATGTAACTAATTCTAAAATGTACGATAAGAGCTTTGGCAGTTTTTTGGCTGCGCAGCAAAACGCCCTCGGCCTGTTTTGGACGGTGTGAGGAGTCGAGAGGAAGCGTTGCAATCAATCACAGCGATTATGTGGCGCGCTTAAAGAGCCGGACGAGTCTGAGAGTGACACAGACCGCGACCTTCTTATCTGCTGCGAGTTAAGTGTCACGTTTGAAGAAGCAAGCTCGGCCTGAACTCTGACCCTGTTTGCTTGTGTGTTTTTTTTTTTTTTTCAAAAAGGCCACGGAGCCCAGTGTGCTCAGTCAAATTGAATATCCTCCTCCAGACATCCGAGAGCACTCCTCCTTCCCTCTGTCTGTCTCCCCCACGTTGACTTCCACTTCCCTCGCCTCTTATTCTCCTCAAAAAATGACACCTGTAAGCAATAATTCACATTTTCCTTGTGTAGTTTTCTAATTTGCAAGCATGTTTAGAGCAAAGCGCCTCAAGCTTGTCAGGCTTTCATTTGTATTTATATGATACATGTGCTATTCATGGAGGGTACACTGTTTTTATGATGTTGTATATAAGTACTTTGAATTTGAATCTGTGCCATCATCTGTGAATTTTGCGATTAAGAACACAACACAAGCATGACGGGTAGGAGAACAACTGTGCGTCTGCTCGAGAAACACTGCTCTAAGTGAAAATGAATGTTAAGTTGCAGAAGTCTATTTTTAAGGGACTAATGTTGCAGCTGTAGGTGAGAAGAAGTTCACGCAGTGAGGTTTCCCTCACAGACATCTCTTCATCGAGCAGATATCTCTGCAGCCGCAGACCTCGGTTTTGTGTCAGCTCCGATGTCATGGCGGATTTGAGAGTGTGCTCCTGCCCTCCTCCAGTGCATTAGCATTTCTGCTGCTCCCCCACTCTCTTTTTTTTTTTTTTTTCTCCGCCGTCTTCCCTCTGATGTCACGCCGAAGCTCAGACATGTTAACACGAACCTTCATGCTAACACAGTTCAGTCCGTCACTGGAGAATATTGTTTTACCTGCTGCCGGAGCGCAACAAGACTTTTTCATTTTCACTGTCTCAGTTTACAATAGATCAGAGGCCTACGCTGCACTGCTGAACTCCTGAACTCTTGTATACATTACTAATGAACCTCTGGATTGTTATACAGTCGTATGTTAACGGGAAAGACGGGCCCTCTCTCTCTTTGTGCGTGTGTGTGTGTGTGTGTGTGAGAGACTTATGCAGCACTATCATGAAGGTTTCTTGGCCCGGGCCTGCTCTTAATTGATGGGGGCTGCTGGTATTTACTTACATTCTCAGGGTGGATTAAATCTCAAAGGAGAGGGGAGGAGATGGTGGTTGTTTTTCTCCCAGCTTTGTCTTAATATGCACCCGTGTGTGTGTGTGCGTGTGTGTGTGTGTGTGTGTGTGTGTGTGTGTGTGTGTGCGCGCGCACATATACATGTACATATGTGTGTGTGCTTTGTCATCCCATGTGGTTCCGTGTTCGTCCTTCCTCCATGACGAGAACTGTCGAATCCTGTAAAGCTGCCCGACGTCCGGTCACCAAATGGAATCACCAGCTACGCCGCTCTGCATGGTGCCGCTCTGCATGGTGCCGCTCTGCATGGTGCCGCTCTGCATGGTGCCGCTCTGCATAGTGCCGCTCTGCATAGTGCCGCTCTGCTGGCTTAAGTTGATGTGTTTGTGTGTATATGGGAGCATTGTTTACTGCTCACAGTTAATGGTAAATACCATTATCTCTCTCTAGTTTTTCATTTTGTCCACTGGGTTTGATATGGAGTCCAGGTCTGCTCGGGTGACAGAGAATCTCGCTGGATCCAGGATGGCCGATCTGAGTTACATATGTGCAAGCTCAAAATTTTGGTGGATCACTCAATCTGAGCGGTGCCATATTTCTGCAGTTTTCCTTGCAACTGTTGTAAAGAAAGATAAAATCATTGCTGCCTTGATGACCTTCCAGAAAATATTATCTTCTAATAAGCCTTCAAACTGGATCTGATTGGCCAACGCTAGATGACGTTACATTGTGTCGCAGCAAAAATTGCAATCGGTTCAACTTTACAACCTGCATTCTTTGTGTTCATCAACAGTGGCCTCATTCAAATGAATGACGGTGCTGCATTTATTCAGGCGCTGCTGTTATCTGTTAGCATGTCAGAGTAAAGGGTTTGAGCAGCCTCTTCTACCCCCCCAGCTTCTAATCCATCCAGTTTTGCAGAGGCTGAACCGACGCACCAGTGGGGGGGGGGGGGGGGGCTCGCCATGCAGCAAGTTTGCAGCTGCTGCCTCAGACAGTGGCCACCGGTCACAGATGGTGACGACAAATGGCGGTTGGACTACAGACAAGGATTGTTTGATATGGCGGCATACGTAGTGAGATGGCAGCAGTTTGACTTTTCTGTGCCGTTACACTACAGATTTCCATTTTTAATATCTCTGGTTGTATTTGGCATTTTTGGTCGGAGTTGTAAATCTGTAAGTTTGACTACTTTGTGTACTTAATCCAAACTACATACAGTGGCGACACGTTACAGACGTTGACCAGCTTGTCCACCGTTAAAACAACCGTGCAGATGACTGTTTAAGTCCAAAACATAACAACAGACTCCGGGCTGTTTGTGAACCTTTTTTCCATCTAATATTCCACTCAACATGTCACAGAGATGGGAAAACAGGAAAATTGCATTTAAAATAAGACTCAAATGCAACATTGCCTCTCCTTCAGTAAGATTTTCTTTTGTGCCGAGGTGCCCATTTTCTCCATCTCTGTTAATGACGTCTTCTCCAGTCTGAAACCTTTTTGATTTCATCTGCTTCTGTAGCTGTCTTTATGCCATGTTTGTGCAAAGATGCGAGTTAACTGTGTGCGTGTGTTTGTGTGTGTTTGTGTGTGTTTGTGTGTGTGTGCTTGTGCTTGTGCTTGTCAGATTGGAGATTGCAGCGTTGATTATGTGTCTGATGTTTTCGACAGAGTGACATCCCTTCTAATGAAATAATGGTCTGGTGGCAGAGTGCTGGAGGATTGCACATAGTAGACTTCAATTACAGACAAGATGATCCCCTCCCCCCCTTTCCTTTCAGTCAGAAAAAAGTACGTTTTTTTCTTCCTTTTTAACAGACGTACTTACACCGAACAAAAAGGCTGAATAAAAGGCTCCCTTTGCAGCCAGACTTGGGGTCTAAGTGTTTTTTTCTTCCGATAATGGATAGAAAGAACATGGCATGCCTTAATTCAGCTTCTCTTTAACCAATCTGATGCCACAAAACAGCCATTGCCCTCCTTGTGAGCACAAATCAACCCGAGCGCTGGTTGTTTGCCAGCCCAGACTGCCACATCTTTCACCGTTGTAATGCCTCCTCTTTTCTTCCAGATGCATTTTGCTCTGCTGCATGCATTATTCTGTGGACCGTGTAATTTATGTTTCACAACAAATGATCTTTTTAAGGTTCCAGTTTTCAGCTGTGCCCCTTCTGCAATCTGGTATGAAATTAGCATACATTTCCTAAAAATATGCTTCTGGATCGAGTGAACCTTTTTTTTTTTTTTTAAATATCACAAAGAGGAAAAAGGGCACCTTCTTTGAATTGCAGCTCTTTTTTTACAGAAATAATGTTCAAAATTCTAAAATAAAACCGAAGGCAGATGTCTCATGAATAAGTGGAACGTTGCATTACATTAACATGGAATCAAACGTACTTGACTGTTGACACTGTTTCTTAAAATTTGCTCGGTGCTTTTTCAGATTGAAGGCATTATGAGAGCGCCACGGCTAAAGACGCTTTTTGCAGACGGTGAACTGTCGAGGTCTGAAAATACTCACAAACTGTGTCAACAGCTTCTGAAGTTGAAGATAAAATTATAATTCATTATCATAATTACAATGCAACTTTGTAGATTGAGTAGACAGATTTACATTTATACTTCATTTAAAAGGAGAACACGATTGTTTACGGTTTCAGTTCTTTTCACAGTGTCATTTTTATATTATTTGGATACTGACATAACTCAAACGTAACTTGAAATTCACTGAAGTTTATATTGGGCAGCATGTTGTGAAAAGAGACTCTTGTTGTTGGGTCAGGTGATTGACAGATTAGAGCGTAAAGACATCTAGCAGTGACCTGAAAACAGTTTATTCAACACGATAACAGAAGTGCATATCATTGATTATGTTGTGTGTGTGTGTGTGTGTGTGTGTGTGTGTGTGGAAGCTGTTGTTCGTACTGTACAAAGAATGAACAACATCACATCTTTTTTGGAGGGAGGGAGCAAAAAAACAACAAACTGAATTGGGTTCAGTGAAACGGAGTTGCTGACATTATAAATGTCAACCCACCGATGCATAATTTACTGTTTTATTACAGTTTTCTTTTTTTCAGTGTATGTTATGTAACCTTATTTGAAAGCAACATGGGGTGAGACAGGGGGCGATGCCATGCAGCAAAGTTCCCCGTCTGAACCCAATCTATAATTTAATGAAAAGAATAATATCAGAACTGAGAAGCCACCGCTGATGAATTTCAGAATACTTTGGTTACTGTATCATTATGGAGGTAAATGTGACATTTTATCATGACGTGGAGTTGAGGACTCATCGTCTCTTTTGTTTCATTGTCTTTTCAGGGTGGACCCCATTCCTTATGACAATCCCAAGCCAACAGGACACACCAGGTTTGTGTGTGTGTCAGACACGCACTCGCGTACAGACGGCATCCAGATGCCCTACGGCGACGTGCTGCTGCACACGGGCGACTTCACCGAGCTGGGCCTGCCCTCCGAGGTTAAGAAGTTCAACGACTGGCTAGGTATTAACCTGCTTAAGACACACACACATTCATCCGGTCGCACGCATGTTTTTCACACTCGCACAAAGCTGACGGGCTGAAGCTCGCACGTGAACAGAGGGACGGGCCACCAGACGTGATGCACGTATAACCAGGAGCTGGACCACACAATGACTTCCACCCCCCACTGTTGACTCACAACTGCTGTGCTAAAGTGTCCAGTTTAATCCTTCTGACCTAACACCCTGGCTCAGTTAACCTTTGACCCCTCCCTCTGGCCCCATGCTGTGGGTGGGAGCGCTGAGCTGCGTGTGTGTGTTTGATCTGTCCCAGCAGCAAGTGTTTCTTCTCTAGACCCTACAGGGGAGAGCTGAAGCATTTTTTGGCCCTCTAATGTAGTCATGTTTGTCTGATGTTCTCTCTCGCCAAGGGCATAAATCAATAAGTGCCACCCAATCGCACTGGCCTGTAAAGTTTTAACACATTTGAATTCTTTTGTCTATGCTTCAGTCGTTTGTGTTTTTGCCAGTTGATCAGCTCTCAGCAGGTGAAACAAAACGACCGGAGCACAACGTCTAAAAGATGGAACACAAAGCAAATTTTAGAGTCACGATTTCATATAAAGAAAATTTAAAGACGCAAGTGGACAAATTTGCCCCGTGAGGCAGAGACATACGTTTAAAACTCAGACCCTATATTTATAAGTGTTGCGTCACCCATTGGTTTGTGGATTGCAGGTTTGAAGCCTCAAGTCCGATATTTTGGTTGTAGCCAGTTTACTTTTTAGAAATGACTATATTTCTGGATAAGAGGGTGGCGCTGTGGAAGAAGGAGGCCCAGCAGATTGCTGTTATCAGCGGGCACGAGGTAGCTAGCTAGTTTGATTAGCATGGTGCATTCGTAATTAAAGTTATCTGTGACAGCGAAAACACAGGCTTCTTTGTAACGAACAGCCGGCTCCTTAGTGTCTTTTTGTACAACCGCTTGCTGAACAATGAAACTGATTGATGTGCATGCTAGTTGCACCCAGTGACTCTCATTGGCTGTGAGGGGAGAGAAAAGTTCCAAAAGTCCAGTGGCCAAGGGCGAAATTTACTTTGTGTTCTATCTGAACAGAACTCCGCAATTTTCACTCAATAGTGCAGCTTATGCTCAAAAAAGTGGAAAAGAGGATGAGACGATTCAAGAAACAGAAAGTGGCTCAAAGGGAAGATTTTAGATTGGCTTTTACATCAAAATCCATGTTCATTTACCAATCATGACATACTTTTTCTGCTGGGAGGGATGTGTATATGTATGTATGTATGTATGTATGTATGTGTATATGTGTGTGTATGTATGTATGTATGTATGTGTATATGTATGCATGTATGTATGTATGTATGTGTATAT